GGAACATGCATTTGCAAGAAGGTGGGAAGAAGGAAGATGCGAAGAGTAGTTCAGAACGGGGCCAAGATTCAGCCGGAGAGAAGCGTGACAAGAGAGGGGAGGGGAAACAATTACGGGTCGAGGGAAGAAGGTGTAAGGACGGGAAAAGGTGAAAATGGCATGGGGTACAATAAGAAGTGGGGGAAGTTTGCATGCATGACGCCTACAGAGGAACAAAAAGGCACAAAAACAGTTACGTCCCGTACATTCTAGCTCTAAAACCTTATTCAAGATTGAAAAATCCAAAAGCAATATCAGCACACGAAATCGAAAGCACGAGAATCCTAAGTCGATTCGGATTCCTGATGAAATTTCACAGAGCTTTCAAAGACGATTTTAGGAACATGCATTCGCAAGAAAGGACACGTCGGCGGGGAGAGTGGCTGTAAATTCCGGAATTCCAAATCGTCGAATATAATTCCTAGCGCGCTCACTAAGGCGCGCGTAAGTCCTATGTACATTCATGAATCGCAAAAAATAAATGGTGAAGAAGTCCAAGAAAAACAATTAAGTGTAAAAAGTGGGAGGGCCTCGAAGATCGTTGATTCCTTGCATCACCCCTTAGCCAGAAAGAAGGGTACCCCCAAAGCGTGTTAATAAGTAGAAACATGAATAAAAAAACTCAGGGCTTCAGGAGTCCATTCGGGTTCAGAAGCTGGCACGTCACATATGTGACATTCAGGGGGTTCTAAAATTATGCTAGCTCCTGATTGCATGGTCGAAAGTCAGGAAAGAGTAGTTTGTATGAGAAAACGAGAGGGAAGGAAGACGAACCCCACATATTAACAACCAGAGGAGAGCACATGCTATCATATTGAAGCGACGTCGTCAGTTAGAGAGAAACACATGTTGACGTTAACCGTAATTGCAATATCCTCGCAAAGTTCCTACCATCGCGACCTGCGGATAATCTTCTATAGCCGCAAAGGAGATCGGGACCTTGAGTGTCTGGTAATCTTCCAGATGGCATCGTCAAGGTACGGACCTACTTTGGTATCTGGTTGTCTTCCAGATGGCATCGTCAAGGTCCGGACCTACTTTGGTTGGTACCACCGGCTCACTGATGTTCCACTCGATCGTAATTAACCAGGAGCGAAGGGGGAGAGGGTTGATGTAGCGGACCTCTGGTTGGCCTGTGAGACCAGCCCCTTGGCCTGTTCTCACAGGCCTATGTTTTATTCAGGGCAGTCCAGTCCAGGCCGGTACCTCTGTTGGTACCAGCCAGTCCAGTCCAGTTCCGATAGTCTGCTGGGGTATACCCCAACCATTGTCTGTTTTCGATAACATTCTACACTCGCACAGTTTGGAGTACGTGCGCTGGAGTCCTGCGTGGGAGCTGCGTTGTGCTATCTCGCTCCTCCCTCATCCTCCATCTCCATCTTCATCCCTAGCGGAGCACCACACCTGGTGGGTCCGCTACATTGGTATCGGAGCGGGAACGGTCCCCGCTCCCACCCACCACACCACACATACGGGAAAAGAGCAAATCCCGACAATGGGAGTTTTCGTTGTTTTCGGGCTGTTTTCCCGGAAAAAACGAGGGAAAAAAAAAAAAAAAAACGGTCAAGGCCAAGGCCGGCCGGCGCACACGTACGCGCCACCTGAGCGCCAAGGCCAAGGCCGGCTGGCGCACACGCACACGCACGCGCCACGTGCCCCGCTGCCCCACCCCGCTCTCGGATTTATCTACTGTCAGGATCCGGGATGCAGCTGTTGCTGCTGGGGTTTGAACCCAGGCAGCTGTGGGGCTTGCGCGTGCGTATACCACTACCATAACACACTCGCCACAGTGTGTCTATGGCCTTGTAGCACGGCACACACGTGTTGAAGAGGTACCGTGCTGGCTATTTACCCCCCCCTCTAGCGAGCAGCGAGCAGCGGCCAGCAGGGCAGCAACGGCGAGGCTGCTATTTCCCC